GTGCCACCGACCCTCAAAAAATAAAAAATCAGAAAGGGGACCCGTTCATTTAGACAATCGTGTCGTCGTCCACCAACAGCTTGGCGTCTCACCTACCCACTCCTCGTTTCTTCTTCAAACAAATGTTTTCTCTTCCTAATCCTTCCCCTACCAAACAACATTAAACCAAACCCCCTCCTTCCTCTCATCTCATCCATGGCCTGCACCACAAACGCCTTCTCTCTTTCTATCTCTTCCAACCCCAACACCAAATTGTCGTCTGACCTCAACCCCAAGTTTTATAAACCCGTCAACGTCGCCCTCCGTGGTTCCTGTACCGGTGATTTGAATCTGGGCCGACTTGCACTCTCCAGACCCAGTCAACTCGGTCGCAGGATTTGCGCCAATGCAACTCAGGTGATGGATCAGTTTGTTGGTGAAAGGAGCTCCGCAGCCCCCACAATTGTTGAGGTGGATTTGGGTGATCGTAGCTACCCGATCTACATCGGTTCCGGGTTGCTTGATCAGCACGAGCTCCTTCAAAAGTTGGTTAAATTCATTCGTTTTATTTAATAATTTGTAGCTAATTTTTTCTCGTATTTTGTGTAATGGGTTGTCGTTTTAATAGGCATGTTCATGGGAAGAAAGTTCTTGTGGTAACTAACACTACGATTGCTCCTTTGTATTTGGATAAAGTCGTTGATGCATTAACAAGGGGAAACCCGAATGTTTCTGTTGAAAATGTGATTTTACCTGATGGAGAGAAGCACAAAAACATGGTGAGTTTTCCACCTTTCCTTTTCTGTTTTTGTTCTATTTAATGAGCATTTTGATTTTGAGGCATTGTTTCTGTTAAAACTCGAGGAATTGACAGTAATGGTTATGCTTATAGGAGACTCTAATGAAAGTTTTCGACAAGGCCATCGAGTCCCGATTGGACAGGAGATGTACATTTGTTGCTCTCGGAGGCGGTGTGATTGGGGATATGTGTGGTTTTGCTGCTGCAGCTTTCCTTCGTGGCGTTAATTTTATCCAGATTCCTACTACTGTTATGGCACAGGTATTTGCATTCTCACGGTTCGTTTATGTATCGATCATCACATTGTGTGCTAACATTTCATGTTTTCAAATTTGTTAATGATATGCAGGTGGATTCTTCAGTTGGGGGTAAAACTGGCATAAACCATCCTCTTGGGAAGAACTTGATTGGTGCTTTCTACCAACCTCAATGTGTGCTCGTAGACACGGACACATTGGACACATTGCCAGACAGGGAACTGGCTTCGGGTCTGGCTGAGGTTATAAAATATGGACTCATCAGAGATGCTGATTTTTTTGAGTGGCAAGAAAAGAATATGGAAAAACTGATGGCGAGGTATGCAAAACTTATTGAGTGAACTGTAATTAAACATTTGAATGTGTGAAACCTCTTTTGAAATATGAAAATGAGAGAACTTATGGTAAGTGTTGAAATTCAAATTGGTGGTTGTTGATTTGTCATTGTTAGCTTTTGGGAATATACCTTGTATTTTACTTCGGAGTGATCAAAATTTCTTACTCGTGTGCTTTGTGATTGTGTGTACCTGCCCTTGCCTACTTCAGCCAATGCAATTGTACTCTGGTGCTTTTGTCATTATTGCAACCTATATTTATTCTAGCTGTATGTGATCCACTGTTGATCATTGCAGGGATCCTGATGCACTGGCTTATGCTATAAAACGGTCATGTGAAAACAAGGCTGAGGTTGTGTCATTAGATGAGAAAGAAAGTGGATTGAGGGCTACGCTGAACTTGGGACATACGTTTGGTCATGTAAGTTTTATAAGTGATCTACTGGTTATATTACATTTTGGCATGCAAAGGGAATTGATTATTTCATGCTTGGTGCATTTTTATGTTCCCTTTGTTTTTGGGTTCTTAGTTTAATAACTTGCTGAATTTATAATGCATCCTTGATCATATTTGGAGTTTTTGTTTCGTGACTGTGTTTTGAAATCCCATGAAGGGAGTTGTAAAATGGTTCTAAAATTGAATAAACTTCAAGTTACAACTTGAGATTTCGTTTTTTAGCACTGTCCGGTAATATTCTTTTTGGTTTTGCATGGCGCCGAAGTTATTTTGTGTTACCTTGTGTAAGAATTTGTACTTGATCTTAAAGGGTTCTGTTAGTCCAGATTGTCTTTTTTCACTTTGTATTCATGTGTCTTTACAGGCAATAGAAACTGGATTTGGTTATGGAGAGTGGCTTCATGGAGAAGCTGTTGCAGCTGGCACGGTATTGCGATAGTTGTTGCATTTCATTTTGATCTTCTTCGACATCTATACTAAACTCAAATCTCTGCTTAACTCAGGTTATGGCTGTTGACATGTCACATCGACTCGGTTGGATTGACAGTTCAATTGTCAAACGGGTTAATGACATTTTACTGCGGGCCAAGTTACCCACTGCTCCTCCCGATACCATGACTGTGGAAATGTTCAAGTCTGTCATGGCAGTAAGTGAACCAAGTTTTACTCGTTCCGTACATCTCAAATTGCTTTCTGTAGCTATTGACGGATACGTATCATTATGTTATGGTAGGTTGACAAGAAGGTGGCTGATGGGCTACTTAGACTTATCCTTCTGAAAGGTCCCCTCGGAAATTGCGTTTTCACTGGCGAGTATGATAGAAAGGCCCTCGACGATACACTCTCTGCATTTTGCAAGTCGTAGATCCAGGTTTTATAAGTTCTTTGTTTTTTAAAGGTTTGCTTACACAATTGTTCTTCCTGACCATTGGATCGTGTATCTTAGTGGTCATGCTTGCTAATACCTTTTGTTATACTGTCTCTAGGATTTTTATTTTCTTGAGCTCCATTATCGAAAGGGCTCGTACAAAGTTGTAATGCCAGTATTTATGGCAGTCAATAAAAAACTATATATATATATATATATATATATATATATATATATATATATATATTCTCTTTTTAGATCATCTCTAGGATGATCAGATTTTTGAAAATTTCAAGTTCTCAGTTCATACATCCAACATTAACTTCTGCGTCATGCCTGTTGGGTCATCCAACTTCCGAACTCGGTCAACCTCCGATAATCATACCAATCCACCACCGAGACATCAACCTATATAAATGACGATGATTGAACCGACGGCTGCAATCTCATTTCCCAAATTCCGAAATCTAAAGTATTATATTATCAAAGCGACCAGCATTTTCCAACGCTTTGTTATGAATCTGCGGCTGGAGATAATGCTGATTGTCGACGTACCTTGCACTTCAATGCTTCCTATATAGACATGCGGATGGTTCTTATATAAGGTGAGATGAAATTGTTTATAATAATGATACATGAGACGATAAAAAAAATATTCACTATAAATGAGTGTTCATGAAATAAAAAGAGATTCCAAAACTCAGGTATGATACACGATTAGTAACAAAATATTGTAGTTAGATTTCAAGTATATTTTCATATGAGTATAATGTTTTGTGATAGTTATAATGTCATATTTCCTAGTAAAGATTAAATGTTTTACAAAAAAATTAATATTAAATATTATTTTTATAGATGATATTATTGTTTGTTGTGATATTATTGTGAGTAAAATTAACAATCATAATATAATCTTCTTGATATAATGATTGTCACTTCATATAGTCAAGTTAGAACTAGAGATGGGCACACTTCATATAGTAAAGTTAAAACTAGAGATGTGCATGAGATCCGAATTCGACAAGTTTTGATATGATCTGATCTTTCTATGTCAATTTTTTTTTTATAAAAAAAATCAGGCTCGGGTTGGATCATGGTTTTTTTAGATGATATGTTTGGGTTGGGTTTAGGGTGAAAAGTATCCGATCCCACCTAAAAATAATACAGTTATATATTAGATATTTATGGATAATTGCAATAATACTCTTCTCTAAATTATTCTCTTCAATTAGATCCCTATTTTAGTGAATAAAAATAATATTTTTTTTATAAATATATTTGTTTTGGGTCGGATCAAATCAGGATTGAATTTTATCTCAAAAAGAGAGTCAGGTTTTAGGTTGGGTGAATTATCATAAACTAGGGTGGAATGTGTATATTTTTAGAAATTACTTCACCCTAAACTAGTGTCGGGTCAAATTTCAAGTGGAGGGTATATGTTTTTTAGATCATATCGGATTGACAAGAAACCCAACCCATGTCAATCTCTAGTTAGAACATTATATTAACTTAATTAGTGTTCATTTTTTATTTGTATCTTAAAAGTTTCTAGAAGATATGGAGTATATGTTTTTCGTTGAGATTAAAATTTATTTATTTTTTTGTTTTTCTCGATTACAAAAAATATGGTGCGAGTTATTTGTTGAATAAATATTTTAAGAAAAAATTAAGAATTTATAATGGAGGCAAAAAATTTCAAATTACATAATAATTTCATTGGAATAATACCGTTAATTAGAGATTATTTAAGCAGATTCAGACCTTTCATTTATACCGTAGACCCAGGTGTAGAGAGTGTTGTTTTTCTTTGATGACGATGTGGGACTGATGCATCCAAAGCTCAAAGTAAATGCATAATGCTGAAGTAGGTGAAAACATTTCCCTACATATCTCACTACTATGAATGTAACATTATCTGTGATTTAAATCTTTAAATTATTGAATTTTATCATCATCATATGAACCAATTGACTAAATTCCAATTTTATTGTTAACCAAGATTTTTTAATGTGGTTGCTGCCTGACTGTTGATTGAGTTTAATGCTTTTCTTTTGATCAATGGCCTTGCAACACCCTGCAATTTCATAAATGAGACCCAGAAATTAGCTCCCAAAGATATTTCCATACTTAATATCTCATCTAACCTTTGCATGATTGATATCCGAACAAAGTCGGATCCGGTAATAAGATCGATTCCCACACCAGCGGCAGCCAATTAACCAATAAAAGACAGTAAATGATTCTTGCAAAGACAGTGTAAATCTATTCATAACAAAATCTTTTATAACAAGAGTTGATATCAAGATAGGGTAATTCGGCTACTCGAATACACATGCACCGGTGAGTAACGACGGTATAAATAAACTATGAAGAACTATTCTAATTGTATAATTTACAGAGAAAAAAGAAACGAGAGATTACAGATCCCTTCTGCACAATGGACAAGAACCATGACTAATGAGCCACTTATCTATGCAAGGCAAGTGGAACATGTGATGACATCGCGGCAAACTCCTAACTGTTTCTCCGAGCTGAAAGTCCTGTAAAAAGATTCAATCCGGTAAGCTTCTTATGCAACTAGTTTTGCTTAAAAAAAAGATTCACTAGTGTTGTACCTGAAGGCAAACAGAACAGGAAACTTTGTCCCCGGAAGCATCGACATTGTTATTGTTTGTGATTTTGATCTTTGGGATTTTTTCGACCAAATCTCCGGCCAATCCTTTTGAACCACCAATGTCAAATATGTTCTGGACATCCTCAAAAGTTGTTTCAGCAGCTCCCATCTGGTAAGCCAAACTGAAAATCATTAGCAAATTGCTATTTGATGAAAGTAATATGGATTTGTGATGCAATTCTTACCTGACTTTGGACTGCACTCAGCATCGCGGGACCAATTCGTTCTCGAACAAGCCTCCCACTTAGAAGGCTTGCAATGACATCAATCTGAAAATTTGCAGTGAAACACAAATGATTTAAACTCTGCTTAGAAGAATTACTACGATCAAAGTGTCAAAAATTCATGCACGTGCTTCAGGAATTCATCGGTTTAGCCGAGGCTACCTGAGTCCAAGGTCCTGGCATGCCACAGGCATCAGAGAAAGCTAATAGTGGCTACTCAAACTAGGTTCAAGTATGCTACAGGCATCTAAGATGCTATCGAATCATGATACTTGCCGAGACGCCATCGAGAACTCAACGAGGCGAATCAATTTTCTTTTTCCACATCCCTTCTCAGAAAGTAGTAACTAAACATAGAAAACCAGGGCAATAAACAAAATTGCTCACCAAGTAAAGCAAACATCCGATCCTGGATTCATCAGATTGCCAAAGAACCAGGGAGGACTCGAAAACTTCGATCGAGAAAACCGCACCGGAGATGGCCCCAACGGCAGCGCCTCGAACGAACCCGCTCTCCGTTTCTTGTCCTATCAAAGCCCCCGTCATGGCCCCTAACAAGGTTCCCACTGCAGATGAATTTCATTAGCACAAATTTGAGTAGAAAAAGACTAAAGCTCAGCTCGTGAAATAAAACGTATTACATGTTAAAAAAATCAAAGAAACCAAACAAAAAAGTCATTAACTCAAGGGTCTATTTCGGACATATAATTGCAATCCAAAAAAAATGGAACAGAATCATAATTAGATTCATCTTTTGTACACATAATAACAATGGGGAAATGGTATTAATTAGTATAAAAGAAAAATAGTAATGGATAGATCAAGAATCAAATGGGATTCCAATGAAATAGTTCTAATTTCTAAATTAGATCACCAACAAAAAGCAAAAAAAAAAGCTTTTGAAGAAACAATGAAGCGTAGCAGAGGACAAAAGAGAATGAACCAACCTAATGCAAAGAAGAAGGTTAAGATCGCAGAGAAAATATTCCCAATGATGGCAGAAACAGCGAAATTGCAAGAAAATTTGATCTTTTCAATGAAATCTCCAAACACAGACAACGAAGACATGGGAAAACGAGATGGGTATGCGTAAAAGTTCATTCTTGTTTTTTCCTTTCTGTTGTTGGAATCCAATGAGAAATGAAATGATCAACTAATAACAGGGGATATGAGAAGCAGCTTATATATAATGAAAAAAATAATAAGAGGAATAAAATGAAGGGGGAAAAAGGAGAGGTAGGGTGGGTATGCTTAGTGCTTAAGAGAGTAGAATCAACCAACTGCATTTAAAGCTCAATGTTTTTCTGATGCAAACCCTGTTTTCTCTCTCTACCTGCTTTAGTTGAAACACGAAAATTTCTGTCTGCGTGGACGAAAGCTAATATCTTTTTCCATTATCTCTCTGGTTTAATTGGGGTAAATTATATTATTAGCCATTAACCTATCTGGTTGACAAATTCACCACTAATATTATGTTTCTATCTATTTTTATCGCCTGCTGTTAAAAAAAATAGGACTATGCAGGTATGATTTTTTTTTCATGCCATTCTATCTTTCCTCATGATTATCTCACGTTTCATTTTTTAATTATTTTATTTGAATCTAGAATTTGTATTAAACCGATAAAATATTTTTTTTTCATAAATCAAAATTTTATATCCAAAAGATCAGGAAACTGCTTCAAAAATACAGCATGTTCTTACAAGAATACCACTACTTACAAGCAAAGCAACAAAACAAAATATCAATAATCAATACCCCATTGCATACAACAGAGGCGGACCCAAGACAAAAATTTAGGGGTTGTAAGAGCCCCAGGGGTGGCATTTGTATTAGGGGTGGCACTTGTATTAATTTTGAGGGGTTTCTACACGGACTTGTTGTTGGAGAAGAATTTTGAGGGGTTGTCTGGGATACCCAGGGCACCACTCAGGTCCGCCCTGGCATACAAAGTGTGCTATTGACATAGTCTTTTCTATTCATTTCCCTACCCCTAAGTTGAATAGCAACAAAATCTTTAATAGCAAGGAGTAAGTCTGCAAAACTTTTTGAGCATCTGCAAAACTTTTTGAGCATCTTTGGTAAATTATTTTGTTCCTCTCCTCCCAAATAATGTATGTAAAACTGGTCCAAGCTAACTTTATAATAGTGGTTAGTAAAGATTTACCTTTCCAGGAAGCTGTAGCCCACGAAATGTGAGTACCCCATGAACAGTATCCTCTGCAAATGCCATTGAAATTCAAAACAGCGTTCTATAACGAACTAGCCATAGTACAGTGTAGAAACAAGTGATCTCTAGTTTCCATCAAGTCATGACAAAACACACATGTACCATCAATATTGAAACCCATTCGAATCAATCTGTCTTTAGTTGGTAATCTATCGAGGAATACCATCCAAGTAATAATACTATACTTTGGAATGTGAATAGGAAACCAAATCAACTTATGCCAAGTGACCTTGTTCTCTTTGTTGCGAATTAGGTTCCAAATATCCTTGATTGATTGTGCACCAGAAGCAAGAATAGAGGCAGCTTGCTCCAGCTAGAATTGATCCCAACCTTCATGGTTCAGAAATCATTATATTTGATAACATAGCTTTTAATCCATATTGATCCTTCACCCGCAAGGATGTTCCTAATCAGATGCATAAAACATGCTTTATTCAAAGACTTAATGTCTTTAATACCAAGACCCCCTTCTGATTTAGTGAGGAAAAGCTTATCCCAACTTACTCTAGCACCAGTTACAGATTTGTCAGAACATTTCCATAAAAAACCTTGAGCATAACTGCTCAATTCGATGCAGTACAAATTGTGGAAGGATTAATTGCCTACACCAAAAATTAGTAATACTCTGTAGAACCGTTTTAATAAGTTCAAGTCTGCCAGCATAGCTCAAGTGTCTTCTAGACCAATTGTGCAGACGGTCTCTAATGTTATCAATAAGTGCCACACAGTCTTTATCCAAAAGTTTTTAGAGACCAAAGGAACACCCACAAATCTAACAGGTAAGCAACCATGTGTAAAACCTGTAATTTTCATGATTTCTTCAATATTTCGAGGGGAAATTCCAGCAGTAAAGAATTCACTTTTTTGTGCATTAAGTTTAAGACCAGAGATTTCATAGAAGTGATCGATAACAGTAATAACCCCCACAACTGATTCAACATTCCCACGACAAAAAATCAGCAAATCGTCTGCAAATGTAAGATGAGTTAATCCAATTTTTTTTTACATTTTGGATGGAAGCCAAAAAGACCTCTAAGAGCAGCCTTGTTGTAACACCTCATTTCTTCGTTGTCTCTTTCTACAAGTACTACAACCACTCCACCGCCAATATTTTGTTTGTTATTGCTAGTTGCTTCAAAAGTGAGCCTTACAATAAAAAATATTATTTCTTAAATCATTGTGTTTCTATCTTTTACAATACCAAAATTAGAGATTCAGAATTCTTTTAGCTTTAGGAGGTTCTGGAATTCACGTGAATTCATATCTTTTGGATTGATAGGAATTTTATTATTATTTTTAATAATATAACCTGGAAAAAAGAGAACCACATGCTGCAAGATTTTTATAATTTAACTCGGTTTTAAATACATGTGTTTGAAATAGCTGGAAAAAAATGACTTTTACGCATAATCTTCACGACCTGTCTTGAAGATGATAAACAGTTGAATTTGCAGTGTCAATAAATAGTAAATCTGTACTCAATTTTCATGGCAAATCCAAGAGTTTTGGACGTAAAACAATTGAGTCATTGCTATGGACTCAGCTTTTCAGCTGACTCTGCTTCATTTACTCGTACTTTTTCTTTTGTTTATGGGGCAAAGCCTTTGTGTCTCACAGGTGAGCGCACAACCTTGTTGCAATTCAAGCAAAGCTTTATCATCCATGAGTCTGCCTCTACCAGTCTATATGCCTATCCGAAAACCCAATCCTGGAAATAAAGTGGCGGTGAAAGGGTCCTCGCTGATGCCATGAACAACATAACTCAATTTTAGCTTCATCGAAAGGTCATCAGAGGCAAGCCATAGTGATTTACTTCAAGAAAGCTGAATGTTTTCTCTAGATTTACGATGATTGGTGATGGTTTTGGATGATCGAAGTTCGGATTTGGGATGAGAAACATAAGGTGGCTCGAGCGATGTATTTTACTTCCTGGGTGGTGACTGAAAACGGTGGCCGATGCGGTGGTCACGACGATCGGTGACAGGCTGATCGTGAAATCATATTTGTGTATAGAGCATTTGGAAAAAAAGATGAAATGTTAAAGAAATGGATTGAAAGGTTAAAAAAATGAGGTTATGATTCTAACAAGATAATCACGTGGGTGGAGACTTAAAAATAAATAAAGTGGAAAATCGCATCATGAGTACTCAAGGTTTGGTAAGAACTTGGCCTTGTCTCATAGTTTCCTTTAGTTTTAGTTTATTGCTCAATTGTACAAATTAATTCGGTTTAGTCCCTAATTTTAGTAATTAATTATTAAAGTAGCCCCACAAGTATTCTATTATACTAATTGAGTTTCCAAATTATTATTTCAATTCTAATAAGCTATCTTTATGGCGAGGGAAATTATTTTGATACAAGTTAGTAATTTTGATGGCCTGGATCATGAGGAAAATATTGGAAGTTGATTTCAAGATCGAGGACGTTCGAATGGAGTTTAAATGGTCAATCAGTATGGCACAGAAATCGAGATAATATTTTACTACCTCTTTATGCTTTATGAAACATGTTGATATTGGTAAATGCATGAATAAGATAATGTTGATCACTTTTGTGGAGTTGATTAATTTATACACTCGATATGAATGTGGTAGAAATTCGATAACTGAATTCGGATCGAATGATTAATATAATAGATTGAGGGAATGTTAGAATTAAATTATAAGTTGTGTGATTTGTGATAAAGAAATCAGCCATGGATTTGTAACTTATATTTTAAAGGTTAAATGTTAAATGTACTTGGATGGGAAATTATGAGAATACTCTGGTAGGGTAAAATTACGAAAATACCCTTATGTTTGAGGATGACAATAATTGTCCCTGGAAGTTGGTTAATAACTCTGAAAAGATATATTGATCCGATATAATTACAAATGTGCATAAGAAATGCTAGTTTTGATTAGAAAATTTGGATAATTGGTTTTTAACCCTAAAAGGGTTTGTATAAGATACTATAAGTCTGTTAAGGAATCATTTCGAGATCAAAGAATGTTCAGGAAAGCAATTAACCATTGGATCTCTAAAGTATAATTATTTTCGTTAAGAGTTAATGCCGAAATTATCTGATTAAGAAATTACGAAAATGCCCTTGAAAGGTAAAAATAGTTCAAGTTGACATTGAATGAGGAAGTAAGATGAGAATTTGTTTTTAAACCGATAAATTACTGATTTGATTGTTGAGATCCTATTTTTGTATGGAAAATTCTGATAATTCGTTAGTAACATCTGAGAAGGCATTTAACTTGGAAATCTTCGACTTGAGTAAGTACGTGAAGAATAATAATTTATCGATGGTGATATTTTGTTAGAATAGTTCAAAGGGACTGACATAAATGATAAGTTTGAATTAAATAATAAGACCGAACGGAAGGAAATGATTGAAATATTCTAGATTTGTAAAATGACCAAAATACCCCTGGAATGGAAATGACTCAAGAATGTCACCAAACTCAGGAATGAATGGATATACTCAAACTTTGAAATGAATAGAAAAACGTTGAGCACCGAAATGACCAAAATACACTATTGACCTAGAATAAGTAAATGTCTTGGATTAATTAAGGAATCCAAATAAACATGGATGTTGTACTGCTCTTAAAAGTTATGCAACGCATCTTAAGTGATCAACCAACGTTAGTGCTATATCATTACCTGAATGATATAAGTACCACTTGAATGTTTGTTCATCTTCTCAAATTTGGATCGATGATAATTCTGGAAGTACTTGGCTCAGCTCAACTCTAGAGCGCGTACAGTACTAATAAGTGGGTATTTGTGAGTCAAATCAACACGAATACCAGAATGACTTTATTATATAAATAAATTGAACTGAAATGAAGTACAATTGGGCTGAAATCCTATGAATTCAAAGTATATTCCTGAATACCCCTGATTGTTTGGGTAATAGAATAACTCGTAGTAAATCTGAATTTAGAATTATTCTGTATAAAGGTTCCTGAATATTTTCCTGATGCATAT